ACACTTAGCACAAGTAGGACAACGAAATTAGGTAATACCCCCTAAAGTGGCATTTTTCTTTATACAACGTGAACAACTGCAGAAGAGTTATAACCTACTTCATGCACGGACCGTAGTGGCTGATTTTTCTTCTCCCAGCAAAGTACATTAACTTTGATTTCCCTGCTTTCCTTTACAAACTGTGCTACACTGTGGGTGTCACATAGGCATATAGAGAATTGCCATAGTTTGCCCATATTGTGAACATATAAAAGTGATTCCAGTCTAAGCTGTGTTCAACCACCGCTCCAAGCACATTAAAAAGAGCACATTATATATATTCTCATATAACCCGATCTCACACTGGACTCTGGAGTTTCTTTCAAATCATTTAAAAGCAAATGTGGACATCCTGGTAGATAGAGCAGGTGCATTTCTGAAGTTGGATTGAAGAGAATATCATTGAGTTTGAATGGGCAGGGAAATGGTCCACCAACAGATGCTGGTGAATAATGATTCAGATCAATTCTAAATACATACATGTGCATGTACATGTGCTTGTTGATTACCCATTTTGATGGTGTGGAGCCTGTTAATGTTGGCTTCGTATTCAGCAGTGGTCCTTGTCAAACACAGGGACTGCCTCAGGTGACCAGGGAAGAGGTTAATAATAGCTGCACAGGTTCCAGCTGTCACTTGGCGTTTGGCAGCGGTGCAGGTCCTCCACAGATGATGCAGGAAAACCCAGGGCAGAGGGAGACTCCTGGCTGCAGGAAGCTGCGGCTGCTGCCAGGTTTGTGTGCTAAGTAGTGAGTCCCTGCCTGAATCTGTATGTGCTGTGATTGGTCCATATTGTTGATCTATGTGATCTCAATAGCAGGTGACAGCAGCTGTTTTTAGACCCATGACTTGGATAAGAAAAAACACGAAACCACAGGAGGACCACAGATACTGAATATGAATTACTTTGTGCTTAATATCATGAGCATCACTTTGAGCTAAACTAATTCAATATCATTTACATATATTTTGATGATATTGCAGCAAATTACTTGAGATATAAGTAAAGTTGTTGTACAAAAACTGTGTAGATTTAAATCATTGTGAAGCGTCATTTTCAAAGACAACAGAAGACAGTGTTTCCATGCTTCTTTTTGCTTTTTCTTTCGTATAACTGTTTTTTTTTCTGTTTAATAAATCGGATTCTCTCAAGGTGAATTTCTGTGAGCCATAGTTTCTTCATCCAGAATAATAGGATACTTTTTTTTTGCAATGATAAGTCCATGCCAGGAAGCCAGTTGTTGTATATCCCCAAAGTTATTGAAATTGGGTCTCGGCCCATCTTAACATTCAATATGACAAAAAGGTGAATATATCAATCCAGTAACTAAGTGTAGCTGTGAAGCAAATTACCTTCCTCTAAGTCACAATTTTCCACACAGGGGAGAATGTATGTCTCATCTTTACAGTCTATTTATGGCAAAATGTTCTACAGCATGCTTACATAACCTCACTTTTTTAAATTTTTTTTATGAATTTCTGTTTGGTATTCTAGGATTTATTGCTGATCTTTAATTCTGTTTGTGTTGCTGCTTTCCCCTTTTGTCTTGCTGAATCTTATTACGTTTGCAGCTCCAACAGTCTAATTTCCCCCTCAGAGATCAATATGTTTTCAGCAGCATTGTCAGTGGCAGATGGGAGGCATGTTTCAGTAAAGCACTGCACTACATGGACGCCAGCCTGTGTTCATTAGTTGTAATTTATTTTGTTTAACTCGGAGAAGAACAATAACAACCACTTTCAATTATTCTCATTTGACTTTAGATTACGGATGTCCTTGAGAGCCCGAACAAAACCCGCAGCTCTGATCTGCAGATGGCCGCCCAAACGCCTTTGTGTTTGGAGGCAATTTACTTTCTAATTGTCTAAATTAGGACACAACCCATATGGCAAAGCTGTCAGTTTAATTCTGTAAAGAAATCTGACTTTTATTTGGTTAAATTTCACACACTGAAGTTTTTAAACTGACATGCAGAAGCTCTGTTGCTGTTAATATTTTAGAGTCAGGAACATTCAGAAACCTTTTTTTTTCAAGAGATGGTTTTAGCTGTCTGCAGTTGTAGGAGTCAATTCAAAGACGTCCACTGAGTTAATATTGTTTACCACAGTTAAATGGATATCTATAGTGACAGGGGTTAGAGTTATTGTCATCCACTCTGATTGTCCGCTCATTAACGGTGGATAAAGTGTAATCAAAGTGCCTAAAGGTTTCTCTTGGACAGACTTGCTGGACAGGTTGAGAGACACCATAAGAGGAAGGCTGCCCCCTGCAGGTAGATGGAGACCATCACAGAACTCATTCTCAAACATGTTACTCAACAAATGTTTCTAACAATGATTAAAGGTTAATACATAATTTATCAATGCTTTATAGACCAGTTATAAACTAATAATAAGAACTAATTTTTGTGTTGATGGGTTGTGGAAAATCATCATCAACACCACACTGGTCTTTTTATTGAACTCTTTAAATCATTAGGGAGACCCCTATAATGAACTGTTTGACCCTCTGGAAAAAAAATAATCCATTTATAAACACCTTATTAACATTTACAACTGCAGACCTGATTTAGATTTATTAATAGTCATAACTGCAGGTGACTGACTAACTTCTGCTAATGGATCATTACAAATCAAGAAACTCAAACTCCTTTATCAGTGTCATACTAACATTCAAAACTGCAAACCCAAGCATTTATAACTTATTAGAAAGTGTGAAACACTACGTACTCATTAATGGTTTACCAACATTTAGAACCACATTATTAGAGAACAGAGACACACAGCCATGTTATTACCAGAACATGTGATTTAAACAGGACTCAATGCTGCAGGAGAGTCTTTATTCAAACAGAACAGGGAATTTCTTAATGTAAAAATGTCATAAAAACAGCTTTTTAATATCAACACAATTACTGTATTGCTCTCCCTACATTGGTATTCATACTAAATATGCACACATATCAACAGCTGGACAAACACCAAGTTAATAAATGGTTATACCATAAGTCTGCAGTTGCAAATTTTCAGAAGCAGTTTATAAATGATTTTGGTCTTGACGTCCTGCAGCCCTTTCCCAATGTCTCCCTAATCATTTAAAGAGATTTAAGGATGATTTTCCACAACCTGTCAATGGAGAAGCTGATCTTACTGATTGGTTATAACTGATTGTTATTCAGCTTCAGTCAATAAGTCTTATCATTATCAGGTTACTGTTCATCCGTGTCCTTGATTCCTCAGCATTACAGACAGTCTCTGTCATTTTTGTGCTGAGGAGAAGGTGTTATTCATATGACACTTTCAGTTATGGTTGTGTCTATCTGTAATTCAGTATTTATTTAAATTCAGTTTTTTCCCCCTTAATTATTCAATTTCCACGCTTCAGGCCTGCACCAAGAGAGAGGATGTCAGTGTGAATCTTCTGCAGCAGGAGGGTCTGGACAGGATTTAGACAGATATCAACAACTATTTTTGATATGTTTTGTGGCTCAGGGGGGTCACTCGCTCTCAGTCATACCGTTAGTGTTTTTATGGAGCACAGTGGGGCCATTTTGACAGCTGTCATTCCAGGAGCAAACATCTGGATTTACAGCTATCTGTCTGCATCGCGACATTAAAAGACATTATCATATCTCCCAATCTGTGTATCTGATCATTTGGCAGAAAACATATAAGCATCACTTGGTTTTTCAGGCCTCCTTTTTGCAGTTGAAACTCGTCAGGTGTTCATTAAAAAAGACATTCATAGGACATATACAACGTTTTATTTGGTGGCGTACTACAACTCTTCACACCTTATCAGAATAGAAAAAACTGACATTCATTGGTAACACTAGGAGGGTGCTGGCATACTGTAAGCAATGTGCATTCACTCCACTCATTTTTATGGCTTCTGTTTTGAATTACTTTGTTCAAATCCTGAAAATTTTGCCAGCAGTATTTTATGCAGTGCATTTTATGATGCAGTGCATGTTGAAAGGAAACCGTCTCTTATTGTGACAGGTTCGGTAACACAAAGCTGACTTGTTTCATTTGCCTTGTAGCTTAAATTACAAGGTAATGCCATAAACCTGTGGGAAAATACTGGAAACTATTGTAAAACTGAAAGGGTATAAAATGCTACTTGACTATTTACAAAATTCAAGTTAATTTTGTACAAATTGAAAGTGCATCAAATGTTTAAAGACCATCCTGCGTGTTTTCCAGGATAAAAATATTAAAAAAAGAAGTGGATACATATTTAGAAGATTCTTCTCTGCAGCAAAAGATCAAGAAAGTCTTTGAAAGATAAACATCGCGAATCTTCTTTGTACTCTGGTGACTTTAGTTCAGTTTTTTTCTTTATAAATTATTATGCAAGTCAACTGAACATGTTGCAGATAAAATCTTTTAAACATCGAATTCAATATACAGTATCGTAACTTTACATTTGCGGTAGCGTTTGGGTGGCAAGTCACCCTTGAGGTTTTTCATGTCTTTCAAAATTTACCATAAGAGTTAAATAAATACACATCAGGAAGAGACAAAAGAGTGACTGGCTGACATTTGCCTCAAGGGCAAACTGTGGCCTGAAATTCTTGGAACATATCGATCAAAGCTCGCTCTTTTCTCCTTTTCAAACGGCCAGAAAAAGCACCAGAGCTCCAGCCCAAAGCCAAGAAAACGAGAGCTCCAAGATCTCTGAAGGGACAACACAGAGGGCAGTGAATACAAAGACCAAGAAGGCCCTGATGTCGTAACAGTGCAGGAATGCTAAGTGAGTGTGACAGTGCTGACTCTTCAGGGGGTCAGGGGTCGTGGCGTGGGACAGATCCAGTGCACTGATAAAGCCTTGCTTCAGCGATCATGCGGAGCTGTCTATGCGGTGCCACTGTTGTGGTGGGGAGCAGGGGGAGGTGGGTTGGTCCCTGAGTGTCGGGTCCCCTGTGGAAAAGGTGTCTGCTGGGGGCCCTCAGCCTGCGTTACCGTTCTTCGGCCACTTTCCCGTTGGCCTCCCGCTCGTCCTCGTCTCTTCGCTTCTGCCTCCGGAAGAAGCCGAGCTGAGCGAGGAAGCAGTCAAACACAGAGAGAAGTTAGACAAGAAGTAATGCTGCATTTTTCAGTGTAAATGCGATGAGCTACTGTTTCTGCACAAACATGGAACCGTTTCTCCGTAATACCAACTGTACCAAAGATTATGAGTCTGTGGCCATGCTAACACAAAGCCACAATGCTAACACGCTCACAATTACAATGCTAACATGCAGTTGTTTGCCAGGTACAATGTTTACTACGTTCCCGTCTTACTTTAGCGTGTTAGCATGCTAACATTTTCTAATTTAATAAGCCTCTATATTTAGTGGTTTTTCTGGTTTTCTATAATAATTAACTTAATGTCTTTTGGTTTCTGACTGTTGGTTGGACATTTGAAGATGTCACTGAATCATAAATTGATTGATTGATTAATCAAGAAAATAGCTGGCTGATTAATTGACAATGAAAATATTTGTAACCTGGCTGCAGTCAGTCCTAAGTTTCATGGCAATCGATCTAATAATTGTTGAAAACACAAAAAACCAAACATAACCTTGTGGTGGCACTAGAGGAAGTGTCAGAGATTTATCAGGAAATTTAATACTGCTCTGTAACTTTTTTGTTACATTACACTCATTAGGCAGAAGCTTTAATTGCAAGTTCATAGGTAGGTACACTGTAAATCAGAGATATATTTAAAATATGTCTGGCAAGTAGTTATTAAGCATATGATCAAAGTCAGATAACAGTGTTTCTTTTTCAGACTTTTAAACTTGTTTCAGACTTTCTCTGCAGCGGGTGGCAGTCTAAGCCAACACTGAAGTCTGTTACTGCTGACTTGGATCTTTTACTATAGAAAAGTACTGTAAAGTTTATTTGAGTAATTGATTTAATTTTTTCAGACAACACGGGTTATATAATATGTGTGCTGCAGAGATATCACATGACATTATAAACAGTGACTGAAAACACCCCACAGGGTTACGTGGGATATATGAGGACATAAGATAACTTCTAAACATTGTAATAGACCAATATTAGATTCATAATAGAACAATATGCTGCTATTGACTGTGGATAAACAGCAGTTCTGAAGCATAGCTGATATTTTGCAGACTCAGTGATCAGGGTGATCATGATAGGGTGACTTACCTTCCATAGAGCCAGACTGAGCAGAGCTAACAATAGGAGTCCTCCAGCGTGCTGCCAATGATAATCCAGGTAGGGATCCTGTAATCTCCCTCCTTCCTGATCTCCAATAAATATCTGTCAGACAAGGTGAGATATGTGACAACATCTCATTTGTGTTTCAGACACAAACTGAACTCTGGTGTCAGCTATATTATTATTTGGTGATCTTGTAGAAAAATGAAACTTTAATGTACACACAATAATGCAGTAATTCACTTCAATGGGAAAGTGGTTCTCAGACCCCACTGTATATATAATTATAAATCAAGTATGTTAGCGTAAATGAGACTGTAATGACTACAAAAGATGGCACAGCTGTGACATTCGCAGACAGTAATAATGCACTCCCCCTGAGGTGATGATGATTATAGTGGATTATAAATCCAGACATTTGTTATTGTGGTTATACTCAGCAAGTGGACGTCACAGGCCCAACATGGAATATTTAAATGATTAACTGCAACTGTAATAGACATATGTACAATAAAAACAATGACTGTTTTATGCAATTTGTCTTTCTTAACATACACACACACACACACACACACATACATAATATAATATATATTTGTATCTAAAGAAAGATAAATCAATTGCAGCACAGATCAGAATCAGATTTACCAGGAAATCCATTCTCCTTTTTACACTAATAACACATGTCAGCGAAAGGAAATCAGTATTTATGGAATTTGTTCATGAAAGCATAGTAGAGATACAGGATGAGTGCTGGTAGTGGCCAATAGATGGCAGCAAAGATTAGTGTACATGTCGAGACTTTTACATGTTGTGCCGCTGGTCCTTTCGGTCCCTGAGCACCACACAGCACGTGTGCTCCAATACCAACTTTACTGTCTGATTCTGCACTGCCTCAGTTCTGCAATGCCACGATCAGCTGTAGCAGAACCCACTGGTATTTTTTTAGAAAGTGATTCTGCAGCAAAATATGTTCCTTTTTATTGTTAGATCAATTGTACTATTAAAGCATTTTAATACTTTCAGTCAATTCAAATACATTTTAAGGGACTGATCTTCCTCAGCACATAAAAACACTGTGTTCATACATGGATAGGATACAAATCAGAGAGATGACAAATATAATTAAATTATGATGCTTTTATCAATCAGTTCGGATCAGGTCAAACCCAGGGCAGAGGCATTTTATAACATTAGCTGTTGTTGACTCACATGTCTGACAGGCCTCGCTTCATGTAAAAAACATGGGCTGGAGGAGGGGAGCTCCACGATGCACTGGTTACCAGTTCCAGGATTTTAAACTTCAGCTGGAGAGGAAATCAAAACAGACCGCCAGTTTTCACAAACATATAAACACAGCTGAAAGACTGCAAAGCTGTCATCGCTACAGTCAAAGCAAAATAACACTAAGATGAATAGAGAAAATTGCATGCATGGTTTAACTGTTTAAAACCTGGGCCAATCACCAAACATGTTATTCCAGTTTCACACTCACGTGCGTGTAAGGTATCTATTCGTAGTGCTCCTGTGATCCTAACTGCAATTTCTCCTGTGGGAGGGCCACAATTGACAGCGCACTGGATCGGCAGAGTTAAGGTGTTTGGATTGATTCTGTGTGAAGAAGTCAGACACCAGCCTTCAGGAAAAAAGTTGCCAAAGATAAAGTCATAGAAATAAACTCTAATTTGGGAATGAAGTTGGTTGGTTTGCCTTTACCAAGCGGGAGACGCGTGAAAGGTCCTCAGGTGATGCTCCTGCTCTGTGCCACATGCTGAGGCGGTAAACAGTGAGTGCCATCTCTCTGAGGTGTGACATAAGAGTGAAAATACCAGTTACTACGTTACAATCTCACATCTGCAGAAAAAGTAAACTAATATTCTGATAGGCTGAGTTATATTTGCCTTTACATTACAACCAAGAATTAATATCACTTTGCAATTTAAAGAATAGTTTTAACATCTTTGGAAATATGGGAAGCTCAATACCAATGTGCCATGGAGCTGATGTGGTTAGCGTAGCTTAGCATAAAGACCACAGAGGGAAACTAAAGAAGTAGTTGTACTGATTTCGAACCATTTTTGTAGTAACTCTTTAAATAAGACTAACATTACATTATTCATGTATAACAAGCTGATGTGACTTTTTGCTGAAACACTGTCAGCAAGAGACAATTTCTAGACAATGGCAGATGCTAAAACATAAGTTAAAGTAGAGAGGAAACTCTGACTAAACCCTGCCCTGAGCTGCAACTGTCCAAGCTCAGCAAACTTAACAGTGAAAGTTATACTCTGTTTATAAAAAGTTAGGAGGATGTTTTTTTAATACCCTCTCCAAAATCAACACTTGAGAAAAAATGTAATGAAATGGATTAAACAGCCAGCGTGGTGTCTGCTCCTACATAAGCTGCAAACATCAGCACGTCTTGTAGGACAGCCTGTAACTTAATGTTATGGTCAAGGAGCATTTTCATGGTACTACTCCTATACTGGGGTTACAGGTAGCAATAAAAAAAAAGCCTCAGTCCAGTCACAATAGTACATCCGCTGTGAACCATTTCACCACTGTGTGCAGACTAACATTAGCAGCTGTGTTGGATTTGGGGAGATTGTTGGGAGTTGTTTGAAAATACAAAATATATAAATGTAACCTCTACCTTGTTGCCCTGGTATGTAAACCAAGCAGCCAAACAGAGTCAGAATGAAGTGACACTCTGATCTTACTCTCTCTCATTATCATACTTATAAAACTAGAGCTAGCTCTATGCTGCAGTTAAGAACAATGCAGATTCTTTATTGCCATGTTTTCTGCATGGGACATAACCTTTTGTTCCAGGGATGCAGATTTAGCCTTTTGCATGTTATCATGTGAATGTGAGCATGGATGGTCTGTCTCTGTGTGTCAGCCCTGTGACGGACTGACCACTGTCAGCTGGGATTGGCCTGCTTCTGTCTATCTTTGTGCGCATTATGTGCCGCATGCGGACGACAGCTTGACAGGCATGACGACAGTAACTAAGAGGGGTGGGCTTAGCTAACGGTCAACAAGCTTGATAGTTCATTCTTGACTTTAGACAGGTGGGAAAGAATCTCAGTTAAAGATTGTTTTATTCTTTAAATCAACCATCAAGAAGAAGAATGTTATTATTCTTTCAAAAGTTACATTTTCTCCCTTTCAATCACTGAGACTCGCTCTGAGGCTCCACACTCACCTGGTCAATATGGAAGTCAGATATCTGCAGGAGCTGGTTCCCATTTTTGTCATTTGGGATCTCAATGTTCAGCTGTAGATCCTTTACGGAAAGTAGCCAAGGTCTGGATTGAGAGAAAACAAAAGAATAAATTGTGAGAT